ATTACATTCAATTAATCTCGCTATAAATTCATAATTAAATGCATTTATTTCAGGATGAAATACAAACTAGCACGGAATTGGGTTTATTACAGTCTCAAGAAAAGTTATGCTGACCCAGGTTTAATAAAATCCGTAGATGATTTCATCATAAATCAATGGAAATCATGGCGTGGGATTGAAAGTTTAATGCAGGATCGCAAGTCAAAATTCATGTTGATCGGCCATAAGGTTTTCGAAGAAATGATTGTTGAAGCTACAGTAGAAACAGCATGTTTTATAAAACTTTTTAAGGTATGTAGATTTTCTAACACTTGATAAACACTACATTATTTACATAAAAAGGTATTTCCAAATCTGCTCGTTTTACCTGTTTAGTGGATAGATCCAAGTATGATGCGAAAATTTTGCTCTCAAGTACGAGTAACCAATGTTGGTCCTAACACGGTTTTAATTCCGTATGGGAATTATGTGAAGCAAACGTACATCGTGAGAAGGGGGGTTGTGGAGGTTTGATTTGCTATGATTTATATAGCAAATAAGGTCAATATAGATTTGTTTTCTTTTTATTTCAGGTAAAAATTATTTCCGGGGTTGGATGCCCAATAGTGAAAAAGTATGGACCAGGGCAATGTCTAGGGTTTGGAGAAATGGTAAGGTAATGCAAGGCATTTAAAATAATTCATGCGAGACTCAGTTGGGTATTGTTCATTCTAGGCTTTAAAACTTCAATCCATGGTTCACATTACGAGTTGTACGGACGTTCAACTAATCATGATTGAATCATTTGTCTTTGATGAAATTCTGGGCAGAACAAAAGTTTATGGAAACGCCTGGAGAAATCTGGTACAAAAAAATAACCAGGAAAACTATCAACGCATATTGTGTCCAGACGGGTGGGAGAGTGTCCTCCAATATAAGGACAGATCTGCGGGACAACCCCCAGCGTTGATACCGGCCCTTCATTTTTACGCTGGTCCAACTTTCGATGAAAGGAAATTGCAAATTAAAAGCAGAAAGTGGGAAGAACCTTGGAAAGAGGCACCATGGTGGATACGAATTTTAAGGTATTTCACTCTTGGGCGTACTGGATACGTACATTATTAGGATTAAATACTTGAAACTTGTGCGTATTTTAGACCATTTACTTTTGGAGTGACCATTCACCCAATGATGTCGTTCGAAAAAACATGGGAAATTATTCGTTTGTTTTTTATTTACGTCATACTGTTTGTTATTCCAATCTCAGAAGCCTTCCCCTGTGTCAAACATAAGTTTTTAATGCTGATTTATATCTCGGACGTTGTCAGCTGCGTTGATATGTACGGCCATGGCATTTATAATTTATAAAAACCAAAAGTTTATTTTTTATTTTTTCTGTAATAATTGTAATAATCATGTAATTAAACTGTCAATTTCTCAATAGGTTCTTGCGACTTTACACTGCTTACTTTGGTCCAAAGTACTGCTATCATCCCGCCCAAACAATAAAAAATTATTTAACAACAGCCTTCATAACTGACGTCTTGGGAGGACCACTGTTTGCTTGGACGTTTGAGTTTTGTCTTACAAATTGGGCATCCACAGAGTAATATAAACAGTTATGACCTGTGGTCATGTATACTTACATGCATGCACTAGAAAATATAAAATAATATGCATCATGTTAGGTTTAGGACGTCGATATTCGTTTACATTTGTAAATTAAACCGCATTCTCATGATTGTAAGTATCAAAAGTAGTTTTCTTTACGTTTATATGTACTATATGGCATTGAAAGGCTAACGTTTATATTCTAATGCATTACAGTATCACATTTACGGATATAACAAACAAGTCAATCGAAAACTTCGGGATCCCACCTACTTTAAAAAGTTCCAATTCCTTAAATAATTTTTTTACTTGTTGAAAATGCAACTTTTACGTATGTTTCAGATTACTGCAGATCATCCCCATTCTAATGTTTCACAGTCACTTAATGAGCTGTATTTTATCTGTAATGGCCTGTCCGGCATTAACCTGTCCTTATCCCAATTCAACGCCAAGATGTCGTGGCAAAACGTGGATAAGCAACTCCATGCTACGTGAAGACATTGGTTAGTGTTTATTTCGCAATCAATTTTTTTCCCTATAGCTTTTATGCATTTTATTTCTTGACCGAACCCAAAATGATTGTATAGATACACAACCAAAATGGACAGACAACGTTACATTTCCCAGAGACAGTGAAATCTATACAGCAGCGTTTTACTATGTACCTAAGTCCCTCGAAATACATACATACGAACAATGAACATCTTGATTCCCAATTAAATTAATTATTACCGATGAATTTCTTTTACAACCTTTTTTAGACCACAACCACTGCCACAGGGTGTGCTTTTGGCGACTTTGCAGCGGTTAACTCTAAGGAGCGGATTTTGGCGGCTCTAACTTTATTCTTCTGCAAGAACAATAGACATATATTAACCTTATTAATGTGATATGCAGAGATGATTTGTGGTTTATTGCATCTCTAGATATCATTGGCACTGCTTATATCATGGCCAGAGTAGTTTCCATTAAACCGTTGAAAGATTTCAGACTCAGGAGTTTCCAGAAACAGGTGAATCACCTGATGGACTTTCTGATTGAGGAAAATGTGGATTATCATTTAAAAACGTATGAGAACAATTGGTTTAAGAAATAACTACATTTCGTTAGGCTAAGGCATTCGTTGTATTTTAAAGCACAATCTTGGGCTACTATGAACACCAATGGCATAAGAGTGGATCTGCTGATCCTCAAGAACACTTATCAACACTCTTCCCATCAATAAGGCAGGACGTAGGGATGCATTTTTACAGACTGGTGTTTCACAAAGTACATAGTTACATATTTTATTGCTGAAAAGTATTTTCTAATTCATTAAAAACTGCATTTTACTTTTGCAAACTTTCATTTTACTCGAATAGGCCCCTGCACTTCAACGAGCGTCACCCGGCTTCCTTCGAGGATTGTGTGATATTATTCGGCTTTACTATATTCCAATGAACCAAATTGTTTTCCGGGAGGGCGACGTTGCTGAAATTTTCTATGTCATCAAGTCTGGAATTGTTCTTTGCAGTAAAGAAGCTTATATAGGCACTCGAGTTAAAGACTTTGGGTATGCGTTGGTCTCGACATTTGTTAAAAATTGTAATCAAAAACAATTTGTGTAATATTTGACCTCAGAATGCTGGGAACATTTGGAGATTTCTACGAGTATACTTGTGTATCAATGGATCAGGTAGGTGACCTGAGCGATAATATACGAAAAATACAGAAAACTTTTAATAAATAGTGCAAAAAAATTAATAAATATGTACATATGCCTAAGCTTGTCATAATTTAATTCATTTTAAGCTACAACTTTTGGTTTTCCCGAAGCAAGAGTTGGCTTTGCTGGCTGTCGTGTTTCCTGATGACGTGCGGTACATGCGAGAAGTCTTGCGATTGGTGTGTTTAATTACTTACAGAGGACTTGTAATGCAGATTGTATTATTTATAGAATTTGAGGTATCTGCAATATTTCCATTGCAGGACCGAGCCAAACCATACAATCACGATTCAAAGGGAAGAAAAGTTGAAGAACCTGAGCAAAATGTTCCATTAAAGCGGACAATGTCAGATCTGACCCCCTTTTCTGGGAAACATTCCGAGTATTTGGATATTTGTTCGTCACATAATTCTGGGTACAAGAAACGATTAGATCCCGCATTTGAGAATCCTTTAAGTTTGGGGTTTCAACCATTAGCCGACTTTGAGTAAGTACTTATGTATTCTACATCAGGTTAGAATATTAAAATATCACGAGTAAAATTGTCCTACGTATGTCTTCAAAAAAAACTAGGAACGATTTCGACATGCCTAAATCCAACTACCACGATATATACCGAGGATTTGTTATTCATCACGATTCATCGTTGACTCATTTCCTCTACTTGCTATATTTTATTGGTGCCCTTGGAAGTACAATTGTCATATCATACCAAGCTGCGTTCAAGAATTTTGACCTGATGATGTTTTGCATCAGTTATGCTTTCGACGGGATTTATATTGCAAAGATGATTGTATCATTTTACGTGGCCTCTGTCGATGAAGATGGGACAATTGTGGGGGACTGGGGAGATATTGTTGCAAAGTACGTACATAAAAGAGGATTGAATAATGAATTGAAGAGCAGATTTGTAAAATTCTTGTACTCGTATCATTCAAGGTATTTTGGACACTTTCGAGGGTTTACGTTTGATCTCATGACCATATTTCCTTTTGAGGTAATTGCAAAAAATTATTAAAAGCTGGAGTACCATACAATTTGCATAGTGAAATCGAAACTTGTTTTTTGAAACTGAGTAAAATGTCAATCTTTAGGTAATTGCTCCGTCTCAGATAGAATGGATGGACCCGTGGCACCTTGCAACAATTTTGCGTATTAACCGGCTGTTGCGTATAGTATGTATATAATTTTGAAATATAATTTGCTATATGAATTTGCTTTAGAGTGTATCTGTTTGTTGTTTTACACAATCAGGTACACGTGTGGAATTTTTTCGTCCCAAAAGACTTTCATGCTGGTTATAATGTGCACTTGAATGCCATAAAAATTGCAAGAGTTATTGTTCTTACATACATTTATCTCCACTTCATGGCCTGCGTACTGCAATTTTGGACTTTAATTGATTGCAAGAATCCTAAGGAAACTAACTTTACCGAATGCTTGTACGAATTTAGAGATACTACTTGGCTTGGAACGAAGAAAGGTATGCATATTTCTTGTATTTACATATCTATGCCCTTACTTGGATGTGAATTTGTACATAGATATAAGTACTCAAAACAAGGTTTAACCTGAACTTTCTTATTTTTTCGAATGTCTCAGAAGGAGATTATTTAAAATACCCATACGTCTACACAATGTACTTTATCTTTAGTACATTTTCCGCTATAAGTTATGGAGATGTGAGACCAATTACGGAGTTTGAGATGATTTTCACAAGCGTGCTGGCGATAACTTCGAAAGCCTGGCTAGCCCTGACGCTTGCAGATCTCGTCAATTGCATCCATGTATATTTGGAACCAAAGTCTACCTACAGACTGGCTGTTAGCGAGACCTTGGTAAATTTGTCAACGATAAGCCAAGTCTAATTTATATTTCTTTATTAAAATATAAATAGATAATTTATTACTGAATCTTTCTCAGGCTGACTATAAGTATGATGGTGTATCTGATGATACCCTGCAACGTCTTTCAGATCACTTGGAATCATTATGGGTTAGGAAAAGAGGGGTTTTCGAACCAAAATTGGTGACGGATTTGCCTGTTGGATTACACTTGGACCTTATGTTTCATCTACACGAGAAACACTTTACGAGGGTACGTACTTTATGTGCAATTGTCTATATATTTAAATATAATGGTAATTAATTCGTAAATCTTATGATTATTTTCGTTATCATGCTTCCAGAGCTATCTGTTTTATAACCTTCCTGACAATTTCTGCCGAGCACTCTCATTAAAACTTAGACGCATGATAGTGCTTCAAGGAGAGTACATTATCAAAAGTGGACAAGTAGGAGATTTCATGTATTTTATAAATTACGGAACAGTTCGTTACCGGAAAACGTACCCCGTGCTGGGTGACGATGGTAGTTCTTACAAGACGAAAGAAGGGAGAGTAAACTTTCCTCGTCATTTTGGAGATGTAAGTAATTTGTACAAGATATTGAGCCTTCCGGTTTAAATATATTAGTAAACAAATAAGCAACTTACGGATTTGGATAATGAGATTACTGTAATTTTAGGAGAATGCAATTCTGGGCAATCGTCGTTATAATTGCTGTTACATTGCGGAAACGGACGTTGACCTCGTGTTTGTTAGTCATTCAACACTAAAGCAGTTATTCCACTCCTGCTTCGAGGATGTCATGCAAATTGTGATGAAAAGGTTTGAAAAGGCTCAACGTCTTCGACTAGGAATTCCGATGCCTAAAAAAGAGTTAGATCCCGATGAGTATGATAGCAGCGATGATCAGAGTGAAATTGTGGACGAAGGGACAACAAAAGAAAATGATGCAGTCATCCTACTCAAAACTTCACCAGAAGACAATAATAAAGTGAATTAAGAAGATAATTAAATTAGCAACCCAAAGTTCTGTGCATGTTTCATGTTAAGCTTGCATCATGACCAGTTTGTAATACTTTGTTTTTGAAATAAAAGTTAAAAATGTCATCCCAGATTCATCATACATTTATATTGCATTGATATCTTTAACAATTTTGAGAGAGATTTATAATTTGTTAGCATGTTGCGGAAATTTTGCATAGGTTCATTTATGATCATTAGAATATATACAGAACTGCATAATTGCAATGTGAAATGTGTGCAAAACAATTTTTGTAAACTGTGAGATCTACAAATAGGATATGAAAAGTCAGCAGGTTTTGCTGAGGTGATTTTAATCAGTTTTTCAGTTCCCATAAAAGCTGGACAATTTATTTTTACTTTTCATCACTCCCTCAACTTCCGCCCCCGTTCACTCAAGAGAAACAATATTATTGCAATTTGCAATGTATATATACTCTGATTATCACAAATATAGTCCTCATGATGGGAGACTTGCTTGAACCCCCACCGGAACAGCCAATACTTATAAGTAGGTATATGCATATGCACATATATTTATACCAATTCCGTGAAAGGATCATTCATTTTCAGTGAATAAAGTCGGTTTGCACCTATGTATCTTTGATTAGTCAAAACTTAAAATACCACTCGAAGCGTCTACACCTGCAATCTGTGAATGCGTACATGTACCTATTGTTATAGAGAGACGCTTACAACTTACTGGATTTTATCTCATCGCTTGGAATAAGCAGGCGTTCACCACCACATCACGCTTTCTCATGAACGCACTATTATTACGCAACGAACGCAACACGGTATCCTTTGCACGAAAATAACTGCATAGGTATATATCGCACTTACTATCCACAAACACACACTCTCTCCCCTCTGCATTTTGAAAGTTGCCGATTGTGCTCCGAAGGGGTGAGATTTTTCCCCGACCGCATCTGGAAACGCGAAGGCATATTATTAGGGACGCCACGGGTTTGCCTCCCCAACCTGGTTGGCAACAACAAAACAAACCATTCCCACGCCACACCAGCCAGCCAGTACTATCCGTATTCGTGTGACTCCCTTCCAGTAGCAGCAGTATCAGGATTCAAGGCTAGTAGTGCAACAACCCTCAAATCAAAACAAACACCAGCGTCATCAGAATTCCTTGTTTTCAAATTCAAATCATCAGAATTTTAAGTCATTTGAAATTTCTGTGTTCCAATTTACTGTCTCACATCACGACAAAAATTTAGGTTGAGCAGTTTGCTTGAAAAAGTTTGGAGGAAAGCCAACAAACCAGAGAGCGTCTATATAAAAGAGCTTACAACCAAGAAGTGGCAAATAAAGCAGAGCAGTGAAAGTGTGTGCTTAAATTGAAATTTGTAAGATGAAGATTGACGTGGATTTTGAAATATTTGGCATTTTGGCCTTTTACTCGGCCATCCTCCTGGCTAAAATTTTGGTGATGCCCGTCCTCGTGGCTAAACAGAGGATCAACAAGAAGGTTAGCGTTAGCGTTGATGAAAGCACTTGCTCTGGCTCCACTGCAGCCACAGACTCGTCTGAAGTACTGCAAGCCCCTTTTTCTTTCTGTTTCTTTTTCCTAAATTTTCGCTTATTAAACTGCACAACTTATTACTTGCCTAAAGAATGAAGATTTGAAGGTTTCATATGTGTTACCTTTGTGTAGGTCTTTGCCAATCCGGAAGACAAGGCCTTCGTTCCTGGGGGAGAAGTGAGCATCAAGCACACTGACCAAGACGTTGAACGATACCGAAGGTAATTACATAAGCTATTAAAAAAAGACGGAATTAATTAAGATAATAATGTTATTTATTTAGGAACAATTATTTATATATCACAAATTATTTTCATTTCAGAGCGCACCTCAACGACTTGGAGAACATACTTCCCTTCATATTTTTGGCCACTTTGTTTTGCTTCACCAACCCAGGAATTGAATTTGCTCGCTGTCTGTTTCAACTCTTTACGATTGCAAGGATTGGTCACACCATTTTCTACTGTGCCCCACGAGCAAGAAAAGCATGGCTAAGATTTGCCAGTTGTGGCGTTGGGTGGGTCATCAACGCCTACATGGCCTTCTCCGTTTTCATGTACAACTTTTGAGAAAAGCATAATCACAACGGAGGCAATTGTTTAAAGTTTTGACAAATCTGTTGGTGATTTCTTGTATGTAAAAATTACGAATTTTGAACACAAATTTTTCCACTAGAATCTTAGATATGATTTCTGCCTCCGAAATCTGTGTGAAAATTGAGATTATGTAAATAGTCAACGTAAAGTGCAAATTAAAAGGTCACACTTAATACTCATATTGACCAAACCAAAGATAGCTTAAAAAGAAAATGATAAAACAGCAACTCTCTCAAAGCCATCCAACCAAAAAGCAATGTATGTATACTCAAAATCACAAAATCTTAGTACATTGAGGATAATAATTTTTAAACACAGGAACCAAATCTTTCGGAATCTCTTTCGGTCAAATTTGATCCCCTAAACACAGTGTATTTTCATGACAAAAAATATTTTGTCACTCGACTCACGTACTATACATACATATATTTAGTAATTAGTTAATAATGTGTATACACCTAAGAACAATGAAATTGTCCATGTTACAATAGCACAAAAAGGCCAGTGTTGCAATAAATCCTGTAGTCACCCACACACAAGGTACAAAAATTCTAAGCTTAGGATTAGAAATTAGAAAAGCTCATGAATTGAAAAACTTTTACTGCCACTTGTAGACGATTATTAGCTATTGGTTTCACTTAATGCGATCTCATAGATTTTTCAAAATTGTGTAGAATGGTATGGAACAAAAATAAGGATAAAGTAATTAATTGACACTGTCGTATATGTACGTATTTGTTAGTTTAGCTGTGTATGATGTACTGATATGTATGCATTTGATTTTAGGTATGATTTTAAATTACGCAACGAATGTGCTGCCCACCATAATCTAATTAACCAATGCTTTAAACTTCATTTTTTATTATCAAGTCAAGTACTAAATATGCAATTAATCATATTCGTATTATATCAATGACCAGTATTTTGAAGTTTACCAAAACAATTATTAAAAATATACTCATACACCAACTTATACCAAACACTTTAAATATTTGTTGTCCTACAATCAATAATTATTCATTTTTGCAGCTTTAACTAATATATATTTTATTTTAATTATTGGATGTATAGAATACAAGTACTAACATAAACTAATTTGGAAGAATTGAAGACACCATGACATGAGTAAAAACAGTACAATATGAGTGTAAATAAAAATTAATAGTAGATCCTCTTGGTTTGTTTTTGTGCAATAAATATATATAAAAGTATATTTCGCTTCATAAATACACATTTTTCATCAACATGTATCATTGGTATCATGCATATCAAAATCTTACAATTTGTAGCAAAAAAGATAATCCCCACAGTAAATATATTGCTCGAGAATATTTGGAAAACAATAATTACGTTGAAATATACAAAATAAGCCCCTTTTTGCTCCAGAAGCGAATCAACAATGACAAACGCGTTTGTGGTATCTCTCACAACTTTCCAAAATGTGAGTATGCTTTGCAAGTTTATTAAATATTAAGAACTCGTTCATCATCCATTATGTCCATCCCGTTTGCATTCAGCTTGTTCGGTACATATCATGTATTCAGGTGTGAATTGGATCCACCATTTGCTTCATTTTCATTTATTCAAGTCCTAAAAGTAGTACCTCTGCACGCTGGGCAAGAATTATTTAATATCATGGCATGTCGAATGTCGGGCACAAAACGAAATTTATTTTACGTAAGTGTTGAACTATGAATCGGCGAAATTAATAGCTCTATCTAAGGTAGAGAGAACCTCGCCTTTGCACTCAAAGATTTTGATGGCCTTCTGGCACTCTGACATTCTATGCATTCAACATCATTTGAGAATAGTAAAATCGACAATTTGCATGAATCTTATTCCTTCCCATTGAAATGGCGAAAATTGCAAAAAAACTGCTTTCGCTCGTTTAAACGTTCGCCAGGAATACAATGTTGCCTGAATTTTGAAAATTCTTGCACTTATCTTACTTAATATCCTATCTCACACCTTTGACTGGGTGTAAGACTAATGGAACTATTCTTATAGGATGAGACTTTAATTATTCTTATATTATGCTTCGAAATTCCAAAGCTATCGGTTATCATAATCTCAGAATTCAAGGGCGAAGCGTTCTCCTTCCTGAGTATATGTAAACAAAAACAATATGACACTTTTTGTATCAACATGCGCATTTTGATAAAGGAAACTCTTTAATGGAATTGTACTCGGTAAACAACTTATATTTTAGGTAAAACAACTCAACCTTCTTTAATTTAATGTACATTAGAAATGTTTGCATAGCATATTTGTGTATTTAGTGTTAACAATGGGTACGCCATATTAGAAAGAACTTTGTGTATTCAATACCTATCACCCGTAAAATCTTTCCATAAAATTAATTCTCTTACTAAAACAAATCGTCCGTGTTTGGGTTGGCATTTAAATATTTCCTTCCCATCCAAGTTTCCATCAGTGTTTCCGATAGCATCGTCCTATTGAGTACACACATGCAGGATAATTTTTTAATGGGGCAGGTGCATGTTTACTATAAAATAAACCAGCTTACAAATTCGACGCCAGCAACCAACCCATCCGACATCATGCCCATCCATAATACTGTCCCCACCACTGGCTCGTCATTTCTGATAAGCCACACTACTCGGTCACCCAACTTCAATGCGGATGAACTATCCCCTGCAGCCGCCCCCACCACAATTTCCTCACGTTCATGTTCTACTCGCATCAATGTCTCATTTTCTCCCACGTAGCTATCAGATTCGGCCTGAAAATCTATTACTTCAACTTCCAGCCCATTGAGAATCTCGTCAGCCTTAAAGAGAAGGGTTTGGGTTCGCCGTATATTGTTCTTTAATTTGTTCAACACCTTCAAAAGCTCCCTATAAAATATGCATAAAGAAATTAAATTCTTTAAATTAAAACAGCGATTCTCAATTAGTCAACCCGACAATAAGTTGTTAAGTGCGTAATATGCAAATATGTGCTTACACACCTTCGCCGATGTAAGTTCAACGATGTCGGATCCATAATTTTCAAGAAAAGCAGTATTTATACAAGTATATATTAAGTGTATATTTATCAATAATCAATGCATGTTCAAAAAATATAGTGTGTCTGTATGTAAATTTGTTAATTGATTGTCCTTTAAATTCAGCTGTGCATTGCATAAATGCATAAATACTGCCTTTTACGCGTACTGCCTATTAGCAGGTAGCATGCATATTGAATACATATTGATAATACATGCAAGGCCATTATGAATCTGCTTATCATTTATTATTTGTTCACGATGAGTACATACGTATCAGCAAAGATGAGATACAACCTTTTCAATTAAATTTATTAAACAATTTTCATACGTATATGTAAATATGTGTATACCAAATTTTACAAGAATTTGTAAAATTTTAAGTTATTTATTTGCCTCCTCCCTCTCACTTAAATGACCCCACCGGTCAACTACTGGATCGATCATACTCATTTTTTGGCTCATCCACGACCTTAGCTAGATACGCATTTTACGAAGTTATCAATGGTAAGTAGGTTAAAATCGGTTCAGTCAGTGGTTGGTCCGCTACTCCTACGTAGCGTGACAGGAGGACGGAAGGACATGACGGTTTCATAAACCCTGTAAAAATGATAAATTTATGACCAATGAATCCTACGTAGTTTATGTTGTGCAAACTGGTACTGTGAGAAGTTTTACTTTTAGATGTATATGCATGTATGTATGTACGTACATATCAATCTATCTAGAAAAGCACAATACAACATAATTTAGTATGATAATTTGTCTGAACCATGTAGTATTATAAGTACTTGTGAGCATATACAATTTAGAGACGTATTTTTGGCCCAAAAACCAAAGCCCATAAATAATGAATGATGTAACAATATACACTTCAACGTTGTCAACCTGGTAAAACTCCTTGTGTATTTACAAGCCAAATAATACCAAGTCCACGACAAATACACAGTAATAACGGCACTGGAACATATAATTCTAGGTCTGAAGTTGACACACTGCATTCAATTTTCTCCTGCATTCCTGAGCCGAAATTGGCACACTGACAACTGTCCATTACTTATCATCACGAGTCTTTTATTATTATTATTTGAAGACGTTGGCTGAATGTAGTTGTTCACCGTCTCCCTTTCCAAAATGAAATACGCGACGAATTGCTGCAGTGGTGAAAATTACACACTGCTTTACGCTTGTAGATACTTACAAGTCCTCCTCCTGTGGTGCTGAGGAAAATTCAGCACTGTCACTCAAATTATTTTGAGTATTGGTACTTAACTTGCACTTTAAACTTTTCTTTTCCAAGGAAAGGATCATCACTTTTAATCAATGAATCCTTCCAGGATTGCATTTAGTGTGTTCATACTTTGTTTTCATCAGTATGGTTTCAGCGACAAAGTTTTGGGGTTCAGCTTAACAGATCTTGCATTTGAGTTCCTACCTGGTTTGGACTTACACTTGGTTTTCAATGAGAATAAGGGTACCTCAAAATATGTATATGTACATATGACATGCGGATGAAATATAAAAACGAGGTAACCTAGTCGTTGAATTTTCTTTCTTTTAATAGAAAACCTGGTTACCTTATCTGGCTCATACTACACATCCTTGTTCCATAATCAAACTGGACAACTTGAAATTACAACTTCTACTGTTCAGCCGACAACTCGAAAAAGAAACACGATGCAGTCGAGTTCAATTGCAGCTTTGAAAAACATTTTGCCATCAACCAAGCCAGATTTGTTAACGTCTGGTCAGAATCTCATTCCCCTCAAAAGTTTTCTAAAAGTTGAGTCAGTTGCAGAAACAATCAAGGTTTTGATACAGGTTAAATGAGCTTCTCCTAATGTCCTTCCAAAACTGATAAATAATTCTAAAAACTTTTTGCCCAAATATTTTTCATTGGCAGATAAGTTCATCGGAGTTGATAAGAAATAGCTCAATTTTTCCCCATCTCGTCGTAGTTTGGCCGGAACGAGTTTTAAACGAAGACGCAGCCTTTACGCTCATGCACAGCAACCAAGTTCAAGACGCTTGTCAAGGATTCAGCATAGCTTCCGAACTAATATTTGTGCTTCAAACAGCCACATTGGCAAAGCCCATGACGATGAATTCATTGAACGAGGACTTTTATTTCTACGAAGTCTTCAACATAAACTCGAGGCATATCGTACTCAAAGCGAGTGAAGGTGAGCCATTATGAGATTACTACCTAATTGTGCCGTGCTAGTTGGTGGAATAGATTAGGTATGTGCTTTGGGGGAAGCATTAACATATTATCTGATTGGCTAATTTGAGGGGATGATATGACCGAATTGTAATTAATTAATGAAATATTACTTAACTACTACGAAGGCGTAGTGGATTTTCACTGTCAGTTTTGTCGGGGTGTTGCAATTCGGCGTCACAACTTTCACGGATTGCAACTCAATGTTTCTGCAATGGTGAGCCCATGTACCAATTATTTCATTGGTATTACCAATTTGGTAATGCATATTGCATGTATGCGAGATGGAGTTAGATTATATGTAACAAATTGTATGTTGCATTGCATATTTAGCAAGATCCAGAAATCAATGACGATTTAAACTTTGAAACAACGGCTGCAGGAGATTTGATATTTTCTAACGCTGGATTTTCTGCACGAATTCTTCATATTTTGCAAACCTCTTTAAATTTTACGTAAGGAAATATTTCTGACAATTATGTCTCTTAAGAACAAAAATATGATATGATTTTGATAATTTTTACTCTTTTGATTTGGGTTTGTTGGCTACAGGGTGAAGGCAATAAGAGCCTCGGATTGGGGAAAATTCGTGGCAGAGAATAAGTCATGGGTCGGGAGCGTCAAAGACGTCAGAGATGGTAATTAATTAATCACGTTAATTAAGTAATTAATTGATTATTAATATTAATAGGGCAGGCACAACTGGGTCTGGCACTGACGACGATGCGACCAGTAAATTTAACTGAGTAAATAATACTCTAATTAAATTAAGGCTTGAATTTTTTACAATTTAATTTAGGCACGTGCACAAATGGTTTCTTTCTTACCTGCGGCGGATGAGGGTGTGTAAGTGCATGATAAGTAAAAATATTCTTGTATTTATATATTTTAGGCCAGAGACTCGGCATATTTCTTAACTCCAAATTTTCCGCTAAATCCTTACAGAATAAGTGCATTCTTCCGCAACCCGGACCTTAATGCAGTCCGCGATATCTTTGCTAGGTAAGATTTAAAAAGTAACTTTGACCCCTTAAATGAATTTTTCGCAAAGTGCGAAAAATGCAGTTCGGGGGTGTTGAAAAGGTACCGTCAGGCTTATCGGCAAACGTAACCCAAACAGCTCTCTACGACATTGTTCGAATGTGTTGTTATGTAGCTCCACCATTTAAATGACTCCCACCGGTCAATGGACCGATCGTTCCCATCTTTGAACTCACCAATGATGTATGCAAAATTTCAAATCATGCATTGCTTTTAAAAAGAGTTATCGGTACAGATAGACAGAGACCAAGGGAATTCTTACGGCCATCTTAAAAGGCCTGGATGCCTGGCCATCTTAAAAGGCCTGGATGCCTGGCCATCTTAAAAGGCCTGGATGCCTGGCCATCTTAAAAGGCCTGGATGCCTGGCCATCTTAAAAGGCCTGGATGCCTGGCCATCTTAAAAGGCCTGGATGCCTGGCCATCTTAAAAGGCCTGGATGCCTGGCCATCTTAAAAGGCCTGGATAGTAAAGTATTATTCGGTCTTATATGCAATATGCATCTTTTAGTCCTTTACATCTTTGAAATAAGTTCAGAGATGAAAGGTTTTCCCAATGCAATCAATTTCATAATCAGAACAAGATTATTCGTACATATTTTGGGCAAATCGGGGCCTGCTCCATCCTAATTGCTCTAATCAAAGTGTCACCTAAGCTTTTTTTGATTTATAGACCATTTCATCCAGATTTATGGGCAGCCGTGTTTTCGACTTGGATCGTCTTAGCATTTTTCATGATTCTTTTCTCTGTTATTCGAAAACGGTACGATCTACACTTGGAGAGTGGACAACCTGAGCCAGATTTTACCAACGACGTATATATTTTACCAAATAATAATAAATTAATTCGACAAACTACGTTACGACTGTTTAAACCAATACCTTTTTTGTAAAATAACAGTCATTTATCTGGGCACTGGCTACTGCTTGTCAGCAAGGTACTAATCGACGTATAAATCAAAAGTAGTGCATCATACATACATAAATACATATAAATATGTATGTACTTTTGTAAGTACAATACAAAGTAATTATATTAGAAATTTATTAGGTTGGGATGACCACCCCGTGGCTGGTTCGTTGAGAACGATCTTCATTTCTGGATCCTTTACAGGAGTTGTGGCGTATGCTGGGTATTAAATGGGAATTATTAAACTACGTAAGTTTAAACATGTATAATTTGTACTAACAATCAACTTCCTGTGTACAGTTATTCCGCTGCCATCGTAAGTACACTTTCACTTCGTGTTGACCCGATCCAAAATCCGGTAATAAAATGGCGTTATTATAGAGTTTAGATACATGCATAAATGGCCCGCCTTGTTGTGAGTATTGCTTTATTTCTTCGCTTTTATTGTACATACATACGTTTTTTGTCCCTCCAGGAACAGTTGCTGAAAAGCTCCCTAAAAATTGGAATTCGCCAAGGCACTAACACAATCATACATTTAACGAATTTAATACCAACTACAGGGCTACTTTAACTAATATATGTCATATTTTTAGGATTTATTAATGAAATATTGCAACAAGTATGACCAAAATCATATCCTACAGTACTGCTTGCATATATATTTGCATAAATACTGTATGGTTGTACTTTGTCCTACATTAGAATAATACAAACGATATCATGACCTCATATCAACAAAAGCTAAAGGCCAGCTCGGAGACGGAACGTTTCTTTAACATCACAACAGGATACAAGCATCTTTTGAAACACCGCTACGCCTTCATCAGCACTCGAGACAACATGTACGACAACTTGAAAGGTTACAAGATTATTTGACACTTTATCACTTTATAAGGTGAGTTTGCACATGACAAGACGGTGATAGTTCTGATGTGTCGTTTACACACATGACATGGTATATGTCGAGGGTAACAAACAATTTGATTCTATATATTTTAACATATTAACAGATCAAATTCATATTCATTATCAGACTCCATTTCACGCTTCCCCCTTTTAGCACTGTCCCCGTCCACGTGACCCTCAATGTCAGAATTATACAGTAATTAAAAACAAAATAAATTTAGTTAGCCTTGCATGAAAGTGCAGAAACCTACCTAAGAATTCATCGTACAAAAAATTGTAACAGAATAACAAATATTGTTCAAAATAATCAGGAGAAAAAAACTCTGGTCAACTCCTAAAAGTCATTTGAATCTTTTCTTGAACGCCAAGGGTTGGAGCTGTTAGGGAGAGAAAGGAATGCTATTGATCACGTGCGTGTCTTGGCTTGGGTGATGCCAGTATGCAGAAGAAAAACCCAGATTGAAACTAATCATGATTTTTGAATTTTCTAGTCACAACCAACGATTCCGAAATTTGCCTATTGAAAGAGTTACAAATCCTACAACATGGATTTCCGGCTGGCCACTTTGTATCAAGAAATTCGCCACTGAAAGAGTTTTTGCGATATATGTAAGGCCAATTGTACATGTGTGGGAATATTCTTAGAGTTCAGTCATTGCATTATATTTGTCATATTTGTCCTTTGTTCCACAGTTATGTGACAATTCGTGAACCCGGAATAAGGTGCGTTTAAACGGCCTTCGGTCACTTTACATAATTTCTGCTGCATAACTACCATTTTACATAATGACCATTTTACATAGTTATCAATTATGTAAATCCTGATTTTGCATAATTACACATTGCATAATTATAGATTTTCCAATATGTGACAGAAATCCAGCATTGAAATACTACCAAGCGGTATTCATTCACTAGTATGACTCTACTCTACCAAGGTAGTAGTGATTACAGAATAGTAATACGTTGTAGTAATAGCTCCGTATTAAGTTCCATCGTCTGTTACAACTCTACTGTACCAAGATTATTTGACACTTTATCAATCTATAAGGTTACGACAAATGCCCGAGTTACAAATGAATTTTCATTTTTAAATTGTCGTGGGTTACAGTTTATTTTTTTAATATTTTGGCTGGAGAATTGGTTTTTCGTCCATGGGAGAAAAACCAATTTTAAAATAATTTTAAAAATGAATATTTTATTTATAACTCGACCATTTGTCGCAACCGTTAAGGGTAACTAGGCACTAAATGTCAAGCAATCGTGCTACTGTACTTCTGCATAAAAAATAACTCGAAGGGTTCCTTTGACTTCTAAACTTGCAATAGACGGTATTTAGGATGTAGTGCTAGGCTAACCACTACATCCTAAATAGATTTGGCGAGAAAGGAAATATTAAAAGTGCGTTACACCACCACCTCCTAACCCTGCCTGAAAAGTTAGTTTGCAGAAGTTACGAAATCAGAATCTTTCCTCTGCAGAAATCGAATTATGTATTTCGAATTATGTAAGTATGTATTCTACGCCATTCAGGAAATTTCCCCATGTGCAATTTCCTCTTAATCTTAATTTCGAAACAATTATGCAATACATATTTATGTGATAAGGCTTATTATGTGAAATGACTTTTATGCAATAAAAATTAGGCAATATGACCGTTATGCAAAAGTGCGTATGTAAATTGACCTAGGACCGTTTAAACTCGACTACTTAAGTTAGCAACATGCATACATTTGCATATATTTGCATAAACAATCTTTCCAGCTGGAAATTACGAGGAAATTATACTTACAAAAGAAGGTGCTTGGAGGCAAGCGACAGCACGGGAAATGCATTGGGCAAGTAACACCTTACTTTTCAATTCAATACTCAATTCAATACGATCAAAATGTATGTAAAATAACGTGCCCCACGAAATTATTTGCTATTTTTTCTACCTTATAGGTCCGAACGATGTGTTTACGGCCTTCATGATTTTATCTGGCGGCTATTTCCTAAGCATTGCTTTTATTATCATTGAAAAATTATTCCGTGTGAGCAAAACCTTCAGTTATATTCGATAAAACAATTTTTTTGTAAAACAAGAATTGGCATTGTTGGATTATTATGTGTGTAAAACAATGAAAGAGGTTAGGTGCTAATAAAATGGTATTATTAAACAGTATATATAAATACTTTGCTTCTCTGTGAGTATTGCTTTATTTCTTCAATTTGATTTAACATATATTGTGTAAATTTGTCCTTCTAGATAGCTTAAGCGCAAAAATCCAGATCAACAATAAACTAACATATACATTAAAACATTTAAATATTTTGTCATTTTTATCATGCCTTCTTTAGTATAACTGTATGAGTCGAGATTACTTGAAAAATTGGTTAGATAAAGATTTACGACATTAAAAAACAAATGCACAAGTATGTATGTATATGGGCCGCTACTAAACTATTCTCGTTCCTGTACATACATACATATAGTTAGCAAAAATACTTGCACATTTTTGGCTTTTAATAATACTTGTTGTTTCAAAACGGAGGATGAGTTACTAATAATTTGTTAATGTTTGAAACCTATATAGGGTTTTTTCCAACAAAACTCCTGTGAAATAGTAGATAATTCTAGAAGCCAATGGGCAAAGTAAATTGCTCGTGTTGCCATAATTTTCAAGGATTCCGTAGATTGATTGATTTTCTGCTGTTGTACTAAGGGTGACTCGGGTGAAATGTTTTGTCCTGTCCGGTGTCTGAAAAAAATGGATTACTTTAGTAGGCATTATGTGCTCAAACAAAAGTTTTAACCATCCATCTCGTTGAAGTACTTTATTCCAAAATTGTGCAACTCAAATAAAAGTTAGTTACCTATAGCTTTGTAGATTTGTGGGTGACTTGAAGTTATCATTTAGCTCAGATCCGTTCAAGCTGGATCCTCCTACAGAGCCTGGGGAGGACGTCGGCATACTGTTCCTCGATAGGGATCCAGTTGACGGTTTGCGTTGAAATACATTGTTAAGTAGGGAGCTGCTATGGATTTTTTTCTTTATACTTTCTGTGAAGGATTTGTCTCCAAAGGACGAGTCAAATGATGTTGATAGAGAGTGGATAAAATTCATGGACGTTGAAGATGAAATGGACGAATTGTGATATGTAGGGTCTTGCAACTGCAGTTCTGCAATTTCTTTGTTGTATGTGGTCCAAACATCCTTTAGAATACTGCAATTACTTCTCAAAGCTTGCTCAAATTCCACTCTGATTCTATTGAGCAAAAGCGAAAAAGAGACGTAGGACGGTTGCAAAATAATACGCGTATCTAGAAGAATTGATGTAAGTAGAGGAACTCGACTTCGTGCAAGTATCGACATGATCTCAGTGACCATAAGTATCATGTCTGGATGGAGTCTACTAAGATTTTTTAAATGGTTTAGCATAATATCCAGAAAGGGTCCTAGGGACGCAGCATCTGATGATGAACTTGATCCATTGAATTCATATTCTAGACTTCCATAGCCATCACTCCCAAAAAGACCTCTTTCGTTTGTTACGGACGGATTGATTGATAAATCTTCAGAGTTTGCGTTGGAATCGGCTCCTAAACTAGTAGGTTCATCTGTTCTTGGTTGAAGAGAAATTGTCGTGAATGGATCACTTCCCAATCCTCCCCCTTCTTGATCATTAGTATTATTTGGTTCGCAATGTTCCGATGACACTTCTTTTGTTGTTAACGGATCACCAACTCCACGGTTGTTAAAACTTTGCGTATTTTGTGATTCTAATATGTTATCATGAAGTGGATGAATATTTAGAGACGGATCTTGATTATAACTACTCGAACTTATTGGCAATTTCAAAGGTGGCAATATTTCGTCGGTCCCGTCATATTTATTTGACCACATTGAAAAAATTGAGGGTTGGGTTCTTGTATTTGTACTTTTTTCGGAAAAAGAAAACTCTTGATTGAGAAATATTGGTAGCCGACTCATCTCATTATCCAAATATTGGCTGTAATGATAGTTGATTGCTTCAGGTCCCATAACTTCAACAATTGGGGATGGAATTAATGAAAGAAAACGGAGGGACGCCTCTTGATAGTCGATAGGTGGGAGACGGATTGTCCTCTTAAAAAAGAAAACCATTAGCTGGCGTAACTCCGAGCAAAGTAAAGTCTTGAGTAAAGTCTTACTTGTGAAACCATCAGGTGACGCTGGGACATCAAGTGACGCAGGATAAGTTCGTACCAGAGGTCCTCACAATAAAACGTAAGAAGCGTACTTAGCAAACTTAGTGTAGCCACTGTCACCTGTATAACAACCAATCAAGTAATAATTTAAGTATATGAGTACAATTGGTTATGCTGCGTATGTATACCACATAATACATCACTTACAGACACATTTTGATGATTCATTCGTTCGAGCAAAATAGGCATTGTTAAATTGTTCAGAATAAAGGTCATCAGACTTTTTACCAGTTGAGGATGAGTGAGGTGTTCACCCACGATCTATGCAGAATATATAAGTGTTTACAACATGGTGGACAAGAAAACTTAACGTGTTCGGTGGTTTGTAATTAATCGATTGTCATATTTATAATTACCTTTAAGTAGCTAGTCACAATTGCAATCTCTTCATGTAAGCTCTGAAATTAAAAAAAATATATAGCCTTTGACTCGTAGAGTGTCATTCTTACATTAGAAAGTGCACAGTATCGACTTGTCAGGTGATATTATTAATAATACAATGTTAAGATGTATCAATCGATATAAATATTTATTAAGCAAAGTGGTAAGGTGGAAAGCAAGTTAAGAAGCTGTATTGTATAAGTTAGGCGAATTTACATTTAATTATTTTCAAATAATATCCCGTATACATGCAGCATTCCATAGTCAAATAGGTCCAAATAAAACCATCATCCCAAACACATGCACCAATTAATAATACATACATACAACACTGTACCAATGTAAAAAATTAAATTTGCATTCACAAATGTGGAACAAGCATTAATACTTGAACTTAGAGTTATAAGTTCAAGACTACATAAATTAGTTAACCTTAGTAGAAGTGATATTTAGTATTAATCAGATTATTCAGGACTACGAACAACTTTAAACCTGTAGAAATCAAGAGAATAAGAAGAATAAGAAGGACACTAACCGTAACGAAATGGTCATCTCGTCTGTGCAAACTACGGTTCCCATCATCCTACATTATCAATACGAATAACCATGAAACCATACGGAATCAACCAATTGAACCAATACCAAACAACATTCAATTTACATTGCATTTAAAGAACAACCAACAAATCCCAATAATAATAACAGAAACATTCCAGCAAACCCCCCAGAATAATAAACATACGAAAAATAAATAGACGGGGGAGCAAATAATCCTCATAGAATATTCTGAACCATGTTCTATTGAGCAAAATAATTTCATACGAAGGGATAACAAATGTGGCAACATTCAGTAGTTAGATTATTCACCAACTCGTTAATTAACAACTGCGAAAAGCCGCACATTCAGTACGTGGTAGTCTTATTGAATTTACCTGAGTAAGTGCTGGCAAGATAACGGCATATAAAAATGTATTGGAGAAACAATCTGCAATTGTAAGAGAGATGGTTGATGGGGCCGCGTGCGCAACTCTATCCACAAATTTAAGTTGAGTTCTAAAAGGCTCAATTTGTTCGTCCGTCCCAGAATAAAATGTTGGTAGCTGTGCAAAACACGCTGACAAACCGCTAATCACAACGTTCTGAAAACATTAGACATGCATACATTATTTTCACAGGTTCACATTTCATTATGTAAATACTTTTGCACTGCAAAGTACGTCGCTTAATGTGTTGGAGACAAGAAATTACCATCAGTTCAAGGCTAGTGTCCTTTAAGAAGCAGTTTTCCAACTCGGGAAACTTTGCAGAGAGCTGTATCAAAATGACAAAGGAGTTTCTTGCCGGTTCCCCCAAATATGGATCACCTTTCAAACTGTATTCCAATAACAGACTAGACAATGAGCAGGCCCCATCCCACACAGCATCAGGGTTATCGTCTCCATTACCACCCATTGAACTGCTCCCACTTGACGAGTAGCCACCGTATCCCAAAATTTCTCCATCAATGGATGCAAGTTCGCAAAGAGCCTCCAATGTTTGCACCAGTTTCTTTTCATCTTCATATTCCAGACGAGTTCCTGATTTGGAAATATATTTTGTTATAAATCACGATAACCCTGCAGATGCAGATGCAATGTCGTAATAATCAAATACCTTTTATTTGCAGGGAGTGGAGCCATTGAAGAACTATATCTGAGCAACCTATAATGTGCAAGCATAATATTTAAATATAATCAGTGGTATATCAAAAACAATCAGTCACACTCTACTAGTCATTTTTGCGTAATCAACTGAGCAAATTATTTGTCTCTTTGATTGGTTCACTTAATTCCGCTCTCGAATGATAAGAAATTGATTGGAAAGATTGTGCATGTACTTCACTTACGATTCGCAATCCAAAACTTTTTACAATTTTTGTGCTCAGGGCCGTCATTTCTTGTTAATTTTAGGAAATTCACCATTTGATTCAGGTGTGAAATCACGGTCAGTGCATCTGAAGCAGTCTATGAAGAAACGACATTTTATCAGGAAGTTCGTTTATATAATAACAACTGGAAAGTGTAAATACTTGCGTGGTTACCTGAGCATTCGGATTGTCCATTACAGTTTTCGCTTGTTTCCAGTGATTTTCCACCGCACTAAAGGCCGCACCAGGTTCGACCCTTTTCTTATCGACAAATCCTACAGCTGGAGTGCTACTGCTTCTCGTCATCCAGCCCATCATTGTGCTTGTCTTGCTTTGTTCAATTCAACCACAAAATAAATTTTAAAGAAAGTCAAATCCGTCCAATAACCAGTTGCCCAATAATAATGGATTCTTCTCGATTTTTGCTATTTCTTCCAAGTGCATTGTCCTTTTGGTAGTCGTCATTTCCAAAAAATGATCCAGTCACCCTAATAGTCCTGTCAAACCCAACATAACCCATGTTACATAAGTCAACATTTTATGCCTCGTTTAAGGACAAGAATTCGTTTACTTCAACAAGGTGTTTATACAAAGTGTTGTACAAACAAACCACGGAGTTACAAGAAAATGTCAATATATTCTTATCTTTGACTTACTAGCATATTTCCGGACGATAATAAATAAATAATCGTATTTACACTTGTATAATTATATAAATAAATGTTCTTCAGCTGGTTTCACTAACTCGCAAGGCCTGGTTGGTGGAGCTGCCAGAGGAAGTCGAAACTCGTCGTCTTTAGATGAACGGAAAATGAAAGCGAGCCGAGTTGTGTGTTTCTTCATAAAACAAATTAGAATCAAGTTGCGACTGAATAACAATTGTCACAGGTAAAATGTAGTCAGGCATCAAGGAGGCGAGAATGCACCACTGAAATGGAGCAAAGTGATACAAAACTACCGTCTCATTCCTCCAACACGGAGAAACCCATCGTCTCAAAATTCCTCTCCAGCCTCTTGCTAATTATACATCGTCTCACGTGCTGTACGTATCTCTAAATACTCGGTGTCTTTCCAAATTCATCGCATACAAGCTCAACCACAGCACACTGCGGCCAACCTGTGTAACGGTTTATAGAAAGTTTCTAGACCCATTCTGACAACTGTTTTAGCATATTATACGATCCTGGGGGTCGGGGGTTGGTTTCCCAGATTTTGGGCAAGCCACACCCCCTGGGGGGTGGTTGGCCTTCCGGTTGATAGCATTTGACCTGGACTACTGAATTGTCGCTGAGGTGGTAGCGCTGGGTGTAAGTGGTTTACATTCCAAGTTTGAAGTCATTAGCTCACTCACAACGCCCGGCGCCAACTGGCGACGCTCGCCAAATGGGCGTTTTAGGTCATTTTCTAGGCTTTATAGTTTCAAAACCCGGACCGATAAACCTTAACGGTTTGCGGAGGCTTGAAGTGCGCATCCTCGGGAATCAATTTTCGTTGAAACCTAAGTGGACCGTCTCCCTGTTTCAGTGCTACGAAGCTGTAAACTATGGGGACCTTGCGTCATCTGACTAAAACGGGTGGAATTTGCTTTGCTCGATTTGCAGTAAAAGCAATATGCGCATGTGTCATAATTAAATGAGTTGATTACAACTAACTTTGACCGTTTCGACATATGTTTGTTGGAAATGTTGAACATCATTCGATTGAGCTGAAATCCATATATCTTAGATTTTCGATATTTTCAACAAAGTTTTCTCAAATCGACTTGTTTGTAGTACCAACAATTAACTTTACATTAAAGTATCACAAGTTGCATTTCTCTCAAAACGAATAAAGTTGATGTCATTTTGAGAATTTGCATTTAAAGACATTGAATAGGGGTAGAGCGAGATTTACCGCCAACGAGTCCTCCACAAGAATCTTAAGGTACCAGAAGAATAATTTTGCTTAGAAACGGGTTGGGTTTGTCCCCCCGATTTCGACGGTTTGGGTAATTACTAAAATTATACTCTGGCAAGCAAAGTTGTAGCAAAACAATTGAAGATTTTTTTAAGAGCAGCATCAACCTGATGGAATCAGTGGTACTCTTGAAATTTTAATGTTTAGCGGTGATTCAAAATTCTTCAATCTAATTTAATTTCTTAGTTCAGATTACACTGTCTCACTAAGATTTCCCATTTTTTGGGACCTTGTTTTTCAGATGGTCCATCGATGGATAATGGACCATTTTTCAGATGGTCCGTCGATGGACCATTTGCGATGATCCAGTTTATTGCGAGCTATGATTCATTAAACTGATTCATTGAACTGAGTCAGTAGGCAATAAGTGGAAAAATACCAAAAGGTTAAATTTTTCTCAAGAAGAAGGAAAGAACAATGATATATGTTTTTTAGCCCGAGTCAGGGCTTATGGAACCGTCATGTCCGTCCGTCTGTCTGTCTGTCTGTCTGTCTGTCCGGCACGATAGAGCCAAAACGGCTGAACCGATTGACCTGAAATTTTTACCATACACATATTGGACAAAGTTAGGAAACGAGTTCGAAGATGGGCGTGATCGGTCCAGTGGTTGACCGGTGGGGGTCATCGGAGTGGGTGGGGTACTATGTACCAAAATTTCAAAATTGTTGTAGAGAGCTGAAATTTGGTACAGAGGTTGCTAATGGCTCCTAATAGATAAAAATGACTTCCAGTTGGAAAAATTTTCATCTTGAGTGACCCTATCGGGTGACCCATACCGATTTTTCAAAACCATCATATCCAACTGAAATTTGGTGGAGAGGTTGCTTATGGGTTTTAATGAAAGAATATGAGATGATATTGGTAAAATTTTTATCTGGAGCGACCCTATGGGGTGATCCATACCGATTTTTAGAAATTGCTTTAAAAAGTTGAAATCCGGCACAATTATACTTAATGGCTTCTAATTAAAGAATATGAAGTTAAAAGTGAGCAAAGTGCAACCAGAGTGACCCTATGGGGTGACCCATACTGATTTTTAAAAATCGTTATATTGAGCTGAAATTTGATATGGAGGCTGAAAAAGTGAAAACCACTGCTGGGCAGCACATGCATACAGCTTAGAACTTCAGGATGTTAAAGAAGCCCACTGGTCATGGTGGTCAAGGCAAAAATTTGGTACCAAATGGTAGAAACTATCTAATAAACTTTTAACCATCCACAACGCGGAAGTTGGTGATATTATGTCGGTCAATTCGGAAAAAAAATTAGAAGCGGGCTCTGACTTATTGAGTCAGGGACTATGCCCCTGACTCGGGCTATATGGAGTCTGCACTGTAGGTTTTAGTTACTGGTTTCTTATAACAATTCATATATGATTGCTCATTCACTGTCTGTATCTTAGTTGGGAAGATTCATTTTTGACGAAGTTCCTTAAAGTCAACATTTACAATATAAGTTTTTAGAAATAAGCACATCGAAGAAGCACTCATCGTAAAAGTTACCAAATTTGTCTTGACGTCTACAAATCAGCCCAAATGTTAGTTCTAAAAAGTTAATAAAGTGTAGCAACAAAAGTACCCTTCTTCAATTAACACATTGTTTCAAATGCAATTCAAAACATAACTTAATTTAAAATTTTAGCCATTACGCGTAAATATTAATGTTAAAATGTGATAAATTGTAGTTCTAAACATGGCTATCGGGTTGAAGTACATATTTCTTCAGTTGCTGTTATTTTTAAACTACAAATACATTGGTGAGTAATTTTTTTGAACTTATATTCTAATGCAATGTCTTTAACTCTGTATATCTATGCAAAGTACCAATCTTATAACAATTTGTTCATGACGAAATCATGAACAAATCACGGACTATGGATACAGCTGTAGTATTGTTGAAGTTATCCGAAATGATATAAAAATTCTAAATGTTTTTTTCTCTTACATTACGTTAGGTAAACGTTGGGAAGACGGTACCTACACCTTCTCACGAATTGGTGATGATGGAATCTACCATTTCATCGGCAGCATTACATGTCGATATCATTCGGTTGAGCTGAAATTTTAGATTTTCGACATTTCCAACAAACATATGTCGAAACGGTCAAAGTTAGTTGTAATCAACTCATTTAATTATGACACATGCGCATATTGCTTTTACTGCAAATCGAGCAAAGCAAATTCCACCCGTTTTAGTCAGATGACGCAAGGTCCCCATAGTTTACAGCTTCGTAGCACTGAAACAGGGAGACGGTCCACTTAGGTTTCAACGAAAATTGATTCCCGAGGATGCGCACTTCAAGCCTCCGCAAACCGTTAAGGTTTATCGGTCCGGGTTTTGAAACTATAAAGCCTAGAAAATGACCTAAAACGCCCATTTGGCGAGCGTCGCCAGTTGGCGCCGGGCGTTGTGAGTGAGCTAATGACTTCAAACTTGGAATGTAAACCACTTACACCCAGCGCTACCACCTCAGCGACAATTCAGTAGTCCAGGTCAAATGCTATCAACCGGAAGGCCAACCACCCCCCCAGGGGGTGTGGCTTGCCCAAAATCTGGGAAACCAACCCCCGACCCCCAGGATCGTATAATATGCATAGATGCGCGTTTGAGCGAGACACTGACACTTTGTCCACTGACACTCGGACAAAGTCGGTGGCACTGACACTTTGTCCACCGACACCCGACCACAGTGAGCGACACTGACACTGTGTCCACCGACACTCAGTGTCAGTGGCTGACACTGACACTGTGGACGACACCCAGTGTCGGACACCCATGTATATGGGCACTGTGTCCTGTGACACTCGGACACAATCAGTGGCACTGACACTTTGTCCACAGACACTCGGCCACAGTGGCTGACACTGACACTGTGTCCACTGACACTCGACCACAATGAGTGACACTGACACAGTGTCCACTGACACTCAAAAAAATTCTTGGCACCGACACTGTGGACGACACCCAGTGTCCGACACTGAGTGTCCGCGCATCTATGATAATATGCTAAAACAGTTGTCAGAATGGGTCTAGAAACTTTCTATAAACCGTTACACAGGTTGGCCGCAATGTGCACAGTTATTGGCAGAATATTATTACTGCCACATATTTATTAACACAATCTTGTCCTCTCTTTTTATCAATAATTTTTAAATTAATATCATCAACTCGGGTTAGAATAACTCGGGTTTACCCACGTCAATCGACCTTTAGGAAGCGAATTGCAAGGTGGATCTTTCTGGGACACACATAATACACATACGAGTATTATTATATTTATTCGCATGCCATACATATTTATGCTAGGACAGCGTACGGAAAGAACGAGTCACAGTGCAGAAATGTATAAAGTTTTAGGGTTCATAATTTTTAATGACTTCTTGGTCGGTCGCACTCCGTAATCATGATGGGAATGGACAGCCACTCCCAGCCCCACGACGACACCCGGAAGGAGGGGGTGAGGATTTTAGAAGTTCTGCTGCAAAGGCTGCCTCATCCCGAATTTCTTTTCCCTTGCACATGGGGTCTCGAGGGTCGTTGTCAACATAGGAGGCGACATTCCTCCCAGATCCGTAAATCGTGTTCTCCGTGTAGTACACTTCAGGAACATGATGCAGGCCTGAGAGGCTGAGAGGGGGTTGAACATAGCAGAATCGTTCGTCTTGACAGTGGTTGAGAGCCATGTTTGGGTGAAGAGGTCGGTCATACGTGTCTTGATAAGTGGTGTTCATTCCCCTTGACGAGTATTTTTATAAATTAGTCTGATAAACACAGCAAGATTTGAAATTAAAAAAAAGCTCTCATACATGTGGGGAACGGGTTGATGGACGCGGGGTGGACATCCCGCATACGGTGGTCGACGGAAGAATTGCTTCAGGTGGGCAAAATTACGAGTTTCGCCTGGATTTTCACGTTTCAAGTCCAAACTGGGAAGCGTTCCTTCTTTGACCAAAGTTTGTTCGAACGGGTCCAACATGGGTCTGACAAGCAACTTCACAGCACAGTCATTGTTCTGTGGGAAAAATGCGTAACTTATTGTGCAACGTAATTGTTCAGGACAAAATAAGTCATATTTAAAATACTTGAGATTTTGGCACAGAGGGGCCAATCTTTAGATTATATAAACTGTCCAAAAACTTATGTTGTGGAAGTTCGTCTTGAAAGTTTTTGTGATAAATACGATACGTCGTCATGTAGGGGTGAGCTTTCCGAAGGGTTGAAAACATGTCGTCGTATGAAAATGCTGGAACAACATTGACACGATTTGCAGGCATATGCTGAAAAATAACAAAACTTTACTTTTTGTTGCATGCTAAAATTATCTAGCTCGGCATACGTAAATAATTTTAATTAAGCTGTATTACAACGAAATGATCAGTAATGAAAATTCCAGCTTGACCAAACATTGAAGCCTCAGGATAATGCGGAGTAAAGTTTGCTTTTGTTTCTGACAACCGATTGGGGAACGGATTATACGCTTTCATATTTCTGCTAACAACTCCTTCCATCTGTTCAAAAAATTAATTTTACATTTACATTTTAATTTTTGAGTCTTTCGATTTACGCATTTTGAGTTTCCGGCATTGGTTTTACTTTGCGGTAAAAATCTGGGCGTATGTACTTCACCAAAGTGTTGGATGGTGCAAGTGGGTGTTTCGGTTGAAAGTCTCGTTCTTCTTGATAAAACTTGTTGTCATGAACGGACCCGCTATGCGTTAGGAAAGCCTGATGTGCGATTATGCGATCAGGACCGAGAAGATAGTCGGGTTTATGGAGATGAAGTGTAGACTACAATTGTTAACCAATTTTAGCCAAACCGATTTACACTGTATTATTGTGCACATATTGGACGTTGACTACCTCTGCGGCGTAGGTTGATGGCCATGGAATCCTTGCTGAGTGATTGTACCTCATGGGTCGAAGACAAAAGTTCTCTGAAGAAGGGCGTGACGGCGACGATGTAACCATTGCATTATGACATTGAGGTTTACACTCGATCAGTTCAGGTCCCACAACAGTGCTCATTTTTCAGCTTCTTATTTTTTATCGGATGGACTAATTTACGTTAGGAGACTCAATGCATAATTTGAGCTGACGAACGTAAGTGAAAGATTTCAAAATATAAGTAAACTTTTTCGATGAATATATTTTGCATAGTTACACAAACTAAATCCAACAAAAATCTATACCCTTATTAGCTTCTTGAACTGCTTGAATCAAGCAGCTTGATCAATATGTACATATGTGTGCATTGCATTGCACACGCATATGAAAACAAAATGTGTCTTCGGTATGAAATGAGTATGCATTTTTTTAAAACTAAAACCGATTTTTACTGTAATTCCATTAATATATTTGTTCATAAAATAAATGGATAAATTAAAATGGGGAAATTTCAAATATTTTATTAATAGGTTATGTACTATGCTTGATTGCTATTTAATCTTGTCGGACATGTACATACATTGGTGGGTACATGTATGTATAGTACTTACGCTGTTTATGTTGTTTTAAACTTGTGTAAAGATTGTTTAAATTAAATCATGTTGAATGCATTTGTAGTTAAATTAGGTATGTTATTTCCTTCTATCCTTTTAAACATGTACATATGTGCTTATGTTACTGATGAATCATCACCACACTGATACCAATACACGTCGTCATGCATTTTTAGGCACTGCAAATTTCAGTGGTTGCATAAATAACGGTGCAAGTATGGTCAATGTCACTTCTCGCAAGTTGCGATATAAAGCGCAAAAGGAAATGTGTACTTCGCACGGCAGTATTAAACGCCTATTGACGGTTGTATTTATGATCCATCTCACTATAAATATAACCAATTTTGCTTTAACAGTGAGTACTATCATTACATATACTTCAGTCAGTTCAGTGTAAAATAGGAGTTTGTACGTATCGAGATTCAATACGTTATATGGTCGTACTATGCTGAAAAGGATCATCGTTTACAGCAAGGTTCAGCTTATATACATATATATCTAACTTGCTCAATACTCAATCCCATTTGTTTCCTTTATATCCTGCAGTGTATTGTATAATTAATCTGTACATATTATGCTAATAGTTTAAATATGTTCAGTAATACATAAAACAGTTATACATACATCACATCTACACTTAGGAAAACATTTTTTTCGTTAGTTGCAATTGTACACAATAAATAAATTAGAGCAGATTGGTCACTAAGTTCGATCATCGTCTAAAAGAGAATGGAAAATGGAATCCATTTGCATCCCAAATAAAATGTATTTAATAAATGGCTTAACTGGATTCTCTCAATTTTATTTTTAAGAATATTCCAACCAAGTGCAATGTGTTTTAAGTATTTATTAAACTAAACCTGTTCTTGTAAGTTGCATATTATACAATATAAATTGCAATGAAATTAGGTAAGACAATGATATGACCCATTGTTTAGGTTTAAGCTATCAAACCCATATACGCAGCTATTAAATTACACTTTGGTTTGATTACTTTGCTATGTGCAAGTAGTGTGAAAAGTACAAACAAAAAGGCTGAGTTCATATATTTAACTCATTAAATTAAAGTTACATTCATTTCATACTTGTACTTTCTTTTACGTTAGAGTATTAGAGTGAGTGATTAAAGACATATTTCACAACACAATGAGGTTATTTTGTAGATTCAGATAGCGAAACCCATTATATAATATAAAATATGGAATAGTTGGAGCAGTTTTTTATATTACATACGTATTACAAAATATTAGTCCGAAAAATTAGGCAAGTACTCAATTTGTCTTGTCGCCATAAATGTGAATTTATATTTATATAACATCGGAAATAAATATAGATCCTGACACGCTAGTAAAAGAGCTAAGCTTAAGTTATACCATAAATCGAATGCATATTATAATGTACATACATACTTATGTACATACATGCATAGTACGTATATCTGTTTAGAACTTTCTGAAAAATTACAACCTGGAATTTGCTCTTAAATAATGATATTGAATTGCTACAATTAAGTAAACATTTGAAATGAAAACTGGATACTCTTCAATTCAAAATTTTTCTGTTACAGATATACAGGAGAATCAGGATTTTCATTTTGGGCATAACCAGAAAATCCATTGGTATCAAATTTTATTTCTTCGAATATCTGCTCCTCTGAAATTATTATAAACTATCCCCCAATGACAGTGACATTGGTATAATTTTGTTGGTGTCAAATTGAAGTATTCAATACAAGCAACAGTGGTGTTTTTCATCGAATAACAAAAAGTTAAAACAAAATGGCAAGAAAGTGTAGCTCCTGGATTTTTTGCCTATCTTCATCGTTAGGAATTTATTTTGGCATTACAATATTCTTCTTGTTCACATTTGTGTATCACAACAATTATGCTGGAATATGGGGATTGATTTCAGGTAATAATGAAACACGAATTACGTCAAAAATAAATGCATTCGGCAATGAAGTGCAATTGCAATGTATCTTATCTCATGTTTCAGCGGTTTTTGCTGGATTGTGTCTTCACCTCCATTTATTATCCTCTGATAATCGATTATCAGGTAAGATCGATGAGAAAGGCTGTTGAAACGATACTTTAGAATTTGACATTTCATTGTGATTTCCTTATTTATTAGGATGGTACTCTGCTCAGCAATTGATTGCGATCGCAGCATTCTCCTTTATTTGTTTTGCTCTGGCCATAGGATTTACATCTTGGTATCTTATCTACGCGATTTATCATCACATTCGTAAGAAAATACAACCAACCAATAACCATATCATTTTTAGTTTTTCTCAAAGTCAAATAATTTCATAATACTTATATGAATAAATAAATTTCCTTGCAGCAATGTTGCCAGTTAAAAACAGCTACTTTTTGGTATAAATATAAATCAGTAAACAATTTAAATAAAAATAGTATAAATTATAAATAACTACTTTTGTAGGCCGCCGTTTGGTCTGGAATGACGATGAAATGGACTTTTGCATTATTTTTATTATCTTACCGATATTCGAGGATTTTAAGATACACCACACCATTCCTCATCATCCAAGAAAATGCTTAATGTGATCATATAGATAGATTAAAATTAGAAATCGACTGAGTTACGTTTAAGTGTCAAATAATTAGAATTATACCGTAATCGTTGCGTGGACTTGTAAATAATTAATTAAAACATATTTATAAAATTAATTGTGTCTTTTTATTATTGAAATAAATTCCCAATTTTCATTATTCGCACAAATCTATTACGCAGAATATACAAAATAATTTCTTCTGAAACTACATATTTAGCAATTGTCAATACCGATTAGCCCAAGTATAATTTATTTATCCTTGTCGTAATATAATGCTATACAATTTTTACGTAAAGCTTACTTTGATGAACATTTTATATGACTAAATATGGATGACTATTATTGGTATCAGTAAGACTAGATTAATATTTTGGTTGTAATTTAATTTGTAAACATATTTCAACGACTCGCAATTTATTATTAATTAAGCGAAATAAGATAAGGCTAACTTGATAAAGCTACTTTCGTGATTCACCTTTAAATTAAAATCGGTTAATGCTAGCAATGTGTCACCACTATTCAATAATATTTATTTATGTAGCACCCAACCCGTCAATGATTTTCATACATATCTACCATCAATTAGTCAACATTATTTCTTGATTTAATTATGTGGTTGAAGTATCAGTTCCCTGACCCTTTAATTGTTTATCTGGGCGATGATACAGTGATCTATGTGTCTTCAAACTGTTTTTGTTCTTTGACCATTTGCCACATAAGTGACATTCAACAGGACCGGAGGTCTCCGCCAATTTTCTCGGTTTCCTTGCGTTTAGCTTTTTCCCACATTGATAATTACCCCCAATGTCTCCACAGACTGTGGTAGCTCCAATGAAACCAAGGCGTTGTTGTTGTGCCAAGTCTAGGAAACTTGGGACTGGTTTAAGCTCACTTCCTTCATAACCGTATCCGTGATTTGAACTGGGGTTTGGGGGAATCGGTGCTGGACGCGAGTCGAAAGGCACAGGCGTGAGCGTATAAAAAATGGGTCCTGCAGTTTAAATAAACAAAATTCAAATTCAAAATAGTAATTTAAATGAATGGAACGGTACGATTAAAATGTGATGTAATCAGAGACTGGTCAATCCCGGATTAAGGATTGGGGATTGAGATTAGGATTGGGGATTGAGATTAGGATTGGGGATTAATTAATCCTCAATCTCAATCTTTAATCCCAAGTTCTAGAATTTTAATCCTTAATCCCTAATCCCCAATCCCTATATGCCAAGTTTAATCCTAAAGTGGGATTAGAATGGGATTAAAATGGGATTAAATTTGCAATGAATGAAAAATCTAAAAGCTAACTTCTCTTAAGATCGCTCCCTTTTCAAGAATTGATTGCATTTCGTTCATTTTTATCACATATTTAAAAATACTGCACATCATTTTGCAAAACTACTCATAACGTGGTGTCCTCAATGAACAATTTTCAACATTGGTGTGAGCAATGTGAGTGCTCTGCTCAAATTCTGGTCAAAGTTTTCCGTTAAAAATAGTACCTAGAGTAAATTTAGCATTTTTCCCGTATATAATTTTTAGTGCAAAAAATATTCAATTGCCATTTAAAAATTTTATTCCTAAACGATCTAATTTTGCATGTGAAATGTTCAAAATATTTCTTGTTCCGAAGTTCAGATTCATTTAATTAATTTAAAAATCTGGCATAATGAAATTTAATGCAAACAATTAATCCAGGACTAAATTTATTCCCAATCCCAGAAAAATAGCCAAAATTTAATCCCGAATTAATCCCAATCCCAGATTGAATTCAATCCCTAATCCCAATCCTTAATCCCACAATTTTAAAATTAATCCTTAATCCTCAATCTCAATCTCAATCCTTAATCCCGATATCTTTAATCCGCCAGTCTCTGGATGTAATTTGTGCAATATGATACCGAATAAAATTAAATATAATAATATGACACGAGTCTAAAATATGACTTCTCGGTGAGATTACTTATTTTGATACGTATTTATTTATTATCAACCTGTGAGCAATTATATAAAAACGCATTTTAACATGGATAAATATACGAGATACCAATGAGTAAAGTAATAACGATGTATATTGTGTTTACAGTAGATAGAGTCCTTCACAAATTCATACATTTCTAATTAGTTGTACGTACATATATAACTATTATTATTATTATTATTAATTTTATTAACAATTATTATGTATGTACTTGCAATTGGCTCAACATTATCATGAAGCATGTGAGGACGAAATGCACAGAAAATTCTGCAGTCTGTGCGGATACATCATACTTTTAATTCATTTTGACTTCCTAGCGGAACCATTATTATGCTTTTCTGCTATATGCACTTGGAGTTGATTCATGCTTCGATAAGTGTTTCGACAATATGTGCATTTGAACAGTTGCTTTCCTTGAGCTTGCAGTTCGTCACTGTGTTTATGGGTGATGTGTCGCGACAGATTCGTTCGGCTGGATACTTCCAGACAGTACGGACATATTCGCTTGTCCTCTAATTTCATCTGAAATTGGCGTTTTCGACTCTGGTTCCATCTCATCCCTCCACCCCATCGGCCGCCAACAATGCGACTGCGGGTTTGACCATAACCTGTGGTGAAAAGTGTATTGTTGAATATTAAAAATGGCACTTACTTACTTATAGAAACCAGACCTCACCTTTTTATACTTGAGCAACATGGACCAATTTATGAAAAGTTAAACAACCATACAAGCTACAATTTCAGTCTTTGTCTCAACGTAACGTTACGTTTTGTGCGCAAAATGAAATGGCTACTAATACATGTGAATGCAAGTTGTATTTGAACATATTTTAAGTAATTGTCTGTATACATTGTATTTCATAAGCACTAAAGTAAATGTAATGTTGCTCATTATGGCTACTGAGGAAAATGCAAGCTATACTCTTCATTATGCCATCTTTTCAAGTGAGCTTTCATTGACGAAGTTGTCCCACGGTGACTGTCTCCACGATGCATAATTCGATGGCATAAAACACAAATTGTATTTTGTGAATTTGTATTAACGTAATTGAAGAATTTCCAAACAGCGCTAGATTTGCGTTCTCGTTCTGTACAAGGATAGAAAAGTAAAACTTAAAGTTAATAATGTATACAGATATCGCTGTTGAATTTATATTGTATGCTATCTCATTTTTTGGCCATAGCATTCCTCGGTACATATGTAAGTATGTAGAAAATATGTCTAATGGATGCTAAAATTTTGCAACTGGGACGTCATGTTAATCGTATACTACAATTCATTTCATCCAATTTTGCTACGTGACGGTCGCTCTAAATAATGCTACATGCAATAATAATGTTTGCAATAAAATCAAAGTTGGAATGATGAGTTCAGTTCAGATCAGAATTAGTTACTTAATTAAGTTCGGATAATGTGTGTTTCGAACGCTATATAGTTTATCCAGTTCATTTTATTTCTTTGCAACTGTATCCTTCATAAAAATGCATATGTACATAGCATATAATTTTTGTGTTTACCATTCGTAATTTTATTTTGTATCCATTAACCATATAAGTATGTATACATACACATGTAGGTCAAATCACTCAAGGCATCAATCAATGAATTGTTCATTATTAAATCTACTTTAATTACTTTAAGCTTTATATAACTTATTATTAGATATTACATACGTTTGAACTATGAATTTCGGAGAGTTTGATTTGCAGTGCAGTGGATACGGTGGCGTATCATTGACGACCGGTGCTTGAAACCTTTTCTGCAGTCCGGACAATAATGCATCACTTTTATCGCATGATTCAAATTAATGTGTCGTTGAAGGGAGCTTTTGAACTCGTACGTTTTTTGGCAAAGGTGACATCGGAAATTTCTCCTTGTTGTACAGGAGTCGTCGTGAGGAATTCTCGTGACGATTCTTGCCCTGCCCAAGCCTACATTACAAATCATAAATGTGAGACCAATAAATCATAAAAAGATGAATACTGCAACGAAGAGTAATTTATTATTATGGGACACCACACACCTCTTTCTTCACACAACTTTTCAAGTGGTACGTCATATGGAATCGATGCATAAATTTGGCAGAACAACATGGACAATAATGTCGTTTTCCGACATGGACCGCCTTTATATGGCGCTGTAAAGAACCACCCGAGGAATACGATTTATTGCACTTTGGACACTGCAACAATCCGCCACTCCCTATCTGTCCCGAATACTTGAAGCCTATGAATGACCAAAAGAAAATTAGTTTGAAAATATATTTTCCCCGTAACAGATTGGTATTATTATCACAAGTTCCGTACATTTTTAACAAATTGTGTAGTTTAAAGAGTATTTATGTACATGGTACAATGCTCCTTGTACTACATACATAGTACTCGTTCATCATGCGCCAATTGCAAGCAAAGTCAAGTGATTCATAAACATTTTCCGATATGAAATGTCCTGGGGTATTTCTACTAATTTGACTAATTTAAGGAACTAATCGCACAATAAGATGCAATACAAGACAATAGGCTTTCCATTCCATTTGGAATGAATTTGGAGGTGGCGACGATGCATTCAACCAAAGATGAAAAGTCCAATGGCTAAGGCTCAAAAATTCCATAATATGTACATACATATATAAGAGAAAAAATTGTGCTGATAATACATACTTTTGCATACTTATAACGAGTTAAGCTTTACATTATGTACGTATCCATCGTACATATATAATGCAATAATTATGTACGTACAATTGTTCTTAAAATATTCAAAATATAGTGATAATAAGTAACAACCATATTATTTGTCAGCTCGTGTATTTATTAACGCGTTAATAATAAGAACATGAAATAAAGAATTGTAATTTACAATTTGTAAACGAGAATGTCAATATTTTAGGCATAACCTGTCATTCTAAACACTCGACACCATGATCTTTCCTTAAATGAGCTGTTAAAATGTATTTCCTTTTGAATGATTTTCCACAATGAGGACATATTTTTAACATGCCAAAGTGCTGAACATTACGATGTCTATTGAAAGCCGTCTTGTTGGTATATATTTTTTTACACTCTGGACATCTCATCACGAATGACTTGTGTTTATATTTCGATGGCAGAGACAAATTCTTCTTTCCAACCATTTGAAACCGTGTAGGATCGTCATCTTAAAAAACAAAAACAAGAAAATCATCACTTTCTAGAAGAAACAACATTGTGGACTCGTTGTCGATGCATCCTCAAGACATAGAGCCGCCGGAATCTCCTCCCACACTCTGGACAGGAAGAAAACTGTAACAAATGTCGCTCTTTTCTATGACGTTTAGCTGCACCCTGTTTATTCAATTGTAGTTGATTAGTCGTTTCCAAAGTTCTGGGCTAATTCATAAATATAAAATTCAGATTTCATATTCACCTGACTGGTAAAACTTTTGGAACACTCTGAACAAAAATAAATTGGAGATGAACTTTCTGAGAAACATTGCGATGTGATGTTAGGCTGTCCTGGTCGAATGCAAACCTCAGCTCCAGAACTGCCCACCGAATCGAAGAACCCTGAGAAATGAAATGAAATTTTGTCCTCAAAATGAATTTTGTTCAACATACTTTTATCTTTCCAGATAAATAAATGCATGAATAGTCTTGTAAATAACTGTATATAATAAGTAGTCGCTCGTTTCTGGAACAGACCTCTGAATGCACAATTAAAGAATATGTCATACATGGATCAATCTCAAAAAATCGTGTGATGGCTTTATTTTCTCAGATTCAAAACGTTGAACAAATTAACACATTTTTACAAATCATTACTACATGATACCCTAGTGAAACACTAATGATATTAATAGCGATAATATATAAATGTTTATATCGTTCATATCATTCGGTGTCTTATGATATTCCTAATAAAATAAAGACACGTCCACTTTGCACACTTCCCTCATGTGTCTTAAAACGTGGAACTTGTAGTTGAATTCCTTGTTACATTTTGGACAAAAAAATTTTTGTCCCTTATGAATCGA